AGCCCAGAAAAGGCTTAGAAAGAAAAAAATGAGTCGAAAGGGAAAAACTATTTAATAACAGTTTGACTTTTTCATACCACAGTGTCGATTTGCGTTACTGCTAACGTTGAATGTTGATTCGGATATCTTTTCCACCCCGTAAAAAAAGATGATTTCGGGAATAAACAAGTTACAGTAATAATACAAACTTGTACACGTGTTCATAAATTGTATGTATCTTGTTTTATTGTTATAGTCGTATTCTATATTTAAAAACTTTTTTTACAAGACAAATAGATGGGACGGAAAATTGTACATCGTTTTCAAAACTGTTGCGATGCACCAGCCCGTTTGCACATATAAACCTTGACGTAGGGTAAACAAATTGTTCCCAAATCTCATTTCTAACGGATGTTGAATAAACACAAAAGAAAAATAAAATGTTAGCCCCTTAACAGTTCAGATGAGGGTCACCTAACAGCAACCAATGCATAAATTACCAAAGAGATCAGTTAACTCGCTCACATAACTCGCTCACCACAACTCGAGCTGGATTATTTTTAACGATATTCAAGATGGAGGAATATAGGTGTGTTGGATCTTTGACGACATTCATGTTTTGTAGCATGCCGGAAAAAATCATTCAACTAGATCAGTAAGCTTTATGGAAACAAGTAAAACTTTCTTTAAAGGCACTTGTTTAATTTGGAACTTTGAGACGTTTTTAACAAGTTCCCTGCATTTTCCCATACCTTAAAAAGTTTTTGTAAAGCTCAGTAAAAATTTAATTGCTAAATTCAAAGCACGTTGATAGTCGAATTTAAAACGTATATAATTACAAAAATTATGACGCATAGCTGCGTAGGCTCAATAGTTTTGGAACAGAAGGGTGCGGGTTGGAAAGTTTGGCATCGAATTAGTCTGGATAGGCTACCTTGTTGTTTTCCTGGGCCAGTATAATTAAAATCGGGACCATAACGAAGATTTGACATACATTGACACAAAGTCGTCTTCTTTTGACATTTAAATTTTACGAATCAGATAACAGTTTTCTGAAAGTGACTAACTTAATTTAGAACATCTCGTTTCTAACGAGAACACTAACAGACAATTGCAACGTTTGTTCTCATTGGGTCCTAAATCTAATGGGATTTGGAATCAGGAATTTCAGAGGTCGCTTAAACATGAACCTTTATCGGTGTCTATCAAATGATTATGTGAAAAGTTGATCTTGATTATGATAAGACTGGTCACTGGTTATGGTTAATTTCAGTTTAATCTGAAATGTTGTATAGCCTATAGACAAATCTTTGACTGTGTACTAATAAGAAATGTGCACTGTTAAACCGATCACAGACTAGGAGAGTTTATGTGATGGCCTGTTTGTTGTCCGTCGTCTGATTCCCGTCCGTCCGTTAGCACAAGTTTGTTATCGATCACTCCTGCTAAACTACTTGGAGAATAGCCATGAAATTTTGCGCGAACATGCATTTCATGGTCTAGTTGATTTAAGATTAAAATGGTGCTGCTCGGAAATCATATATGGCTGTGTCAGTAAACATTTTGACTATTTATTTTGGTACCTTGCATATTGTTTGAATTAATAAAACAAAAAACATTTCCAGCTTGTCTTCACTGACAATGCTAGCTGTTAAAAATGACCTTATATATCGTAGGTGTTATTAAAACAACTTTTATTTTCATTTAATTTTGTGTGCGATTGATTGGTGTAATTTTCTTGGAATTTACACAGTGAACCACACTTAACTTTTGCTCAAAAATTGCTACTTTCACCTGGTCATTTTCATTCTCGTAGATGCGGATTTCCTTAAAAGTGCATCCATATTCATATGGATGCAGAAAAGTGTATCCTGGCTTTAGCGAAAATCGGACACGATGCAAAAAAATGTAAAATCGGACCGGGTGCAGAAAAGTGCATCCTGTTTGTCGGGGCTTTACAGCAAAATCGGACCACATGCGTGTCCATTTTACTTCTCTTCTCCTCTCGGTAGAATATAAAAATATAAAGCTGTTTCCTTGATGCCGTTTCTTTCCACACAACCCACAACCGTGTCCTAGCCTATAGCCTGTCTTCCTTTTTAAGACAGCTGTCTGGCGCTTTTCTACGAGGGAAAACTATTCTCCAGTTCCCCGATGAGTTGGACCTGTTGACTTCTTTTATGTAAGAGTCGAACTAAAGAATTCTGAGGAAGTGGTATCCCTATATTCCCAGTCTTCCAAAGTGTACATCTTTAATTTCTCTGACCAATCGGAAATAACTGTCATAAAATTCTCTCCAAATCATCATGTCTTTCATCAGATTTTGACAGCCTAAGAACCTGTTGCAATTAGCTTCCTTTGAAAAATCAGTTATTTAACGTACGACCCTCTACGAACCGTTACGGTCGGATTTCTAATGCACGTATATCACTGTACCGTTAAAAGGACCCGGTCAGTGTTAATGCAGCTTTAACGTAGACCCTTTTATGCTTCAGAGATGAAATAAGAAATAATCAGTGAACTTTATCAAGATCTTTCTGGCTTGACTATGTTAACTTAAAAGCACAATTTAGTCAACCTTAAGTTTCAATAAGTCTTCAAAATTCGTCACATTAGAGTACCATTGAGAAATGCCAACTTGCATTCCATCATGCATGTTGCAAAAGCAAATAACTTTACTTTTCACCCGTCCATTTATTCAGAAGTAAGGAATAACTTTAAAACGGATGGTCATATCAACATTGAACTTTCAAACTTCTACAGATACCTTGTTAGTCCTAAATGAAAAGTTTGTATGTCTGACGTCCAGTACCTGTCATTTCAGGCATTTTGAAAATATTATCACTCCTCCTTCTGAACAGAACAAATCACATCGACATAGGTTTTCACATGTATACATATTATGATGTCTGTTTAGTCTTAAATGACAATGTTTCCGATCGGACATCCAAAATGGCCACCAGTTCGACCGCCTTGAAAGTTGTTATCGCTTCTGTTCCTAAATATATGGTCGTAATAGCATTGGGTTTTCACAAAAAAAAACTTGTTATGTCTAGTTTGTTCTAAATGAAAATTAGGCAAACCTGACGTTTAGTGCGGTCGACATCTTGAAATATTGTCACCACTACTCCTCGTGAACGGATCGTTATTGTGGTATGAAGCTTTCACCTGAAGACTTCGTATGATGGTTGGTCCTATATGAAAATGGTGCCTTCTGGACATTCGGTATGACCACCACGACTATTCACCAAGCCATGAAATATCTACATTTCTAAATTTGTATGTTATTCAGCTTTCTAATGAAATAAAATGTAGAAATCATTTAGTTTCAGTAGCCTCTAACGATTGCTTGGTGTTAGTGATGACATTTCATCTAGTCATTGTGACGTGAATGAAGTAACCTTCATTTAATGACAATCACGGGCTTGAAGTCAGTTTAAAATGGTCATTATTTTCATGCGAGATTTGTCTAACATGCGATAGAAAAGTCCAAAGATATTCCGAATGAGGTTAATCTTAAGTTTTTGCAGTAATATGATGATGCCACATTTCACAACACATGAACATTTACATTGGCTGATTTAGTGGCTCTCTACAGTTTCGTATTTTGCTTAGGGTTTGAGTTTTGAGGGAAAGAAAAGAAATACCCCTGATTTCCTCACTAGTTATACTGGCTATTTAAACAAGACCTTGTATATCTTAGGTGTTGTTGAAAGAACCTTTAATTCTCTTTATTTTGGTGTATTATTGATGGTTGTATGGGTTATAGAGTATGCAGCTTGGCCTTACTCCAAATGTGCAGCTTTAAAAAGAAAAGTGCCTGCTCCACTTGGTCATTTTCACTTCCTGAACTTCAGAGGTAAATTGTAAACAAAAGAGCAGATAACTTTTTATTTTATTTTATGTATTTGGTATTTCATTCATTGCACTTTCAGAAGCTGGTGTTGTCTAGTCTGGCAAATTTAACTTTCCCTATTGCAATAGGTGCTAAGGATAGTGTAGTTTAGATAAATTATGGCTGAATTTTGGAGAACTCGGGAGCAGTCATTTTAGTTCGCAGTTTGCTAAGATCATTTACAATTTCCAAAAGTACAATATTCAAAGAAATGCCAGCATTACATCAAAGTAGCACAGAAGTATGCCAACCTTCTCTCGAACATGCATGTTTTAAGTACAAACAACTTCGCCTTACATACGTCACTCTCTCAAAAGTACATAATAACTGGTGAGCGCCCACTTAGACACAAATCCTGCATCGGTAGTGGTTTCATATTCTATCCTGGTAAGTTTTCTATATTATTTTGTTTTGAACATGTTTTATTACTTTTTTTAAATTGATGAAAATAAGGCAACCAAGTAAGTTCATTTTAGAAATTTAAAGGACAGTTACATAAAGTATTTTGCTCTTTTGGTGTACTACGGACAATTTCACCGTTATATGGGGGTTCATTTGCTGACAACTGCGTCACACATCCAGTGTTTTTTTTGAGACCGCAGATACCTATCACCTGCATGTTAATGAAACTGCGCCATTTTATAGTGCTATCCAATGAGGCACCACGTCGATATGACGCTACAAACCAATCACTTCAATTCGGAGGGTGGGAGGTCTTTAGATGTTAGTTATAAGAAATACGTCTCTTTTCTGTAAATGACGAATTTAAACCTGAAATGAAAGTAAATGAATCGAAAGTTAAACTTAGAAAATAAATAATTTTGTACTGAAATGTGAATTTACGTGAACCCTGACAGTATTTTCTGAAATTAATTGAGTTTAATATGAAATAGCTCTCCTTTTTGTCTGCTTTAGATGTCTTGCATGAATTTTGTGATATCCGCCATCTTTACTTTGAGGCAATTGATGCATTAAAGCATCTCGGGCGTTCACTATAGGATACGTGCAAGCGAACTTGAACAATAATAAACAGTTTATAATAGAGCAAGTTCTCCTTAACAATAAATTATCTGCCTAATGTCTCCCGCAAAGATGTCAATTCGTTCTTCTGCATGGAACGCTCTGGGAGCTTAAAAGTGGTTATAGCGCTCGCCTAGGATGCAGGAGGTCGCGGGTTCAAACCCCGGCCGAGTCATATCAAAGATATAAAATTGGTACTAACCGTTCACTGGCTTGGCGCACAGCATTAAGAGGTTAGTGTTAGGACTGGTTGCCCTGGTGTCAGAAAAATGTGACTGGGTTGGACATCATGCTACATGTCTGCGGCATGATACACCAGTACTAGAGATCACTGTAAAATGCATACTCTCTCTCTCTCTCTCTCTCTCTCTCTCTCTCTCTCTCTCTCTCTCTCTCTCTCTCTCTCTCTCTCTCTCTCTCTCTCTCTCTCTCTCTCTCTCTCTCTCTCTCTCTCTCTCTCTCTCTCTCTCTCTCTCTCTCTCTCTCTCTCTCTCTCTCTCTCTCTCTCTCTCTCTCTCTCTCTCTCTCTCTCTCTCTCTCTCTCTCTCTCGCACCACCAACCTTATTTAGAGGTCAGTGTTAACCATTAATCGTCTTACACAAGGGATTTTAGTGTTTGGTCGTATATTTGTAATTAAAGGTGGAATAATACGATTTAGTATTTGTATTGAATCGCAAGATCTTACCTGTGGTTAATAGTTATTGCCGTCAATACCTGTTAGAAATATGGGCTTTTTTGGCGGAGAGTTACCTGATGAAGCACTGTCTAAAGTTGTATTTTTTTTTTTAAATAAATGGTGTCGTGCGCATCAGTCAGTTTTCCTCCAACCCGCATCGGGTTCATTTCAACATAAAATGGAACTTACAGGATTCCAAAATATTTTCGGGAATGTTATCATTCGCTCAACTTGATATTGTTGAAAGCAAAATTTGAAATTATACATTCATCTAAGTAATATAATTTTTTAGTAAATTTCTGTACTCAATACAACCAGAACCAAATATATAATAGTAGGCCTACAGATTTTTTATTCATACCATGCGGTGTTAGGCAAGCATTAAACTTCCTTTATTTCAACATTTGTATGACTTTATCGTTTTGTCATCAAGAAAGGGTAATCTATTTCAGGTGATAATTTTATTTATTTAAATTTGTTATTGGAGCTTGAATGATATCCCTTTTAAAAGTCTTAATTTTACTTGTAAACACTATTATTATTCAATTCAACTTTGTTATGACTGTTGGTCATTATGACATGTCATGAAATATTGGGAGCGTAATATAAGAAAATGTAAATTCAGTGACATTAATGTATTTATTGACAAATGTGATATCAGACTTGAATAAATCCTTTATTTTTCTCATTCATAGTTTATGTTGTCTGTATACTTGGACAGAAACATAGTTTCTTGATAAGTAGTCAATACAAAAGCCAACTGTCTGTGGAGATTTCGTTTTTATCAAATGTCTTTAGTGAAACAGAAAACTGAGGAAATGACTTGCACCAAAAAAAAAAAACGAATATAAGTTAAAAGGTAATAATTTGCACCGCCTGAACTTTTGTAAGATGTATCATAGATTTTGGTGATATTTAGAAAGAGGTCCTGCTATGATGCTGTACCAGCATCAGTATGTCCTTGCTTTTAATTAATTGAATCTATTTCCTATTCGTTTAATTAGTCTTGAGTACATCAAGACCAGTAGATGAGAGAATAGGAGACCTCTCCTGCATTGAAATAAATAAATAAAATTGTATGTTGAAATACCGTTGTTGAAAAGAAATTAAAAGAATACTGATGATTAGAAGATATTCGTCTAACACCAAATATTAAAAATTAAACCTCTGCAACCAGCTGTATTTGTTAAAGATTTAATTTGTTTCAAAACTTTAAAGTCTCACTGACAATCTTTCGGTATTCTAGCGTCACCAGTAGATAATGATGCCAGTGATTATGATGGGCGTCAGTACTTGGCGTCAAACGGTACGTTTTAAAGGAACCATTAATTCAAAATTGTTTAATGAGGGGGGGACCTTTACACTTTCTTTGATTTTTCTTCGAAAAATCTGTAACACTTTTATTTCGATCCAAGCCTGGACTTCACCAACAAATTTACTCCTAGGTCTACATTGAAGCAACTGGAGTTTTCAAGTCTGACTTAGTTTGAAAGACAAAATGTTACACGTATTCGCCCAAAATACGTAATTGCTATAATTATTCACCCAAATCTAGTAAACATGATGATCTAATTGTTGTTCTACCAAGACTAATAAATATGCTTTGTTTAGTTTCAGATAAAAGACGATATGGTAATGGTATTAAGTTTTATGGGCATGTGACCATTAGAGAAGGCACGTATTACTAGACATTGAGAAGTAAGTATATGTTTTAATTCTAACTTGCAGAGCTATGTAACATATCAAAGTTGACGCAGTTGTTGAAAACAGAGTTCTGAGTTTATGGATCAACATAAATGGCTGGAGTAGCTAAATATTTGCTGTCATTTGAGGTTATTTCCCCTTGACACATAGTTTATGATACATATTTACGTACATAGAGTATTTGAACTTCTTAAGTTTTTCTACTGACTAGTATTTTTAAATATTTTAATGAGAATTTTTGTTTTAGCTTCTTTGAGAACTCTCATTCAGTTCAAGGGGGCGGGAAGAATGGGATGTTCGGGTATTCTTCAGAACTTGAATTTCCGGTTCGCCTCTTTGGATATATCAGAAAAGGAAACACGTCCCAAAATTGTCGGTGAAGCAATGGATGGACCCCCAAACCTTATGTTAGCTCTACTGGTCATAGAACCGAAGAGTTTACACTCGGACCTTTCGTTCGACCACCTTCGTCTGTAGTATACCTGCTAGCACACGCATTTCTTCTTGGAAGATTGTCATAAAACGTTAAACACATACATTCGTCCCGAGGTCTAGTTGGTCGTTAAAAAGGATGGTGCCATTTAAACGGTGGCCATTTTGAAAATCGTATTGCTACTCTTTCAGAGCGGATGATCATATTTGAACGAGTTTTCACGTACAAGCAGCCTCTTATAATATTTAGTTGGTTCTAATTGAAAATCGTACTAATCTGTCATCCAATATGGCCGCCACATTAGTCATCAAAATCTTACCACTACTCCGTCTAAGTTAACGAATATTTCTTTAGGACTAACAAGACAATATAAGAATATATATATATTCTTATATTGTCTTGTTAGTCCTAAAGAAATATGCTGGACAGTATCAGTATGGCTGTCAAGTGAAAATCTTGTTTTCCTGAATGGATAATCGTATCGACATACGGTTTTCGCTAAAACATTTCGTATGGCGTCTTGTTCGTCCTAAGTTAAAATATCGCCGCTGAAACATCAAGTAGGACTTAATAAAATGCCTAGTGGGACCTAAAATGCCGCAAATAAGATTGCCATTGTTATAGACACAATGGCAAACTGCGTCTCCAGAACACGGAGTTCTCATTAAACGACCTCAAATGATATGTAGTTGGGATGGGTGTTTTGCTTTGCCGACGGCGTTCCCATACTGTTTTGTTTTGTTTTTTTTTTTTGTCTCGTTCCCATACTTATATTGCGCTCGCCAGTAACATTCATTTGCTCACTGGTTTCTGACTTTTTTGTTTAGCATTACACTATTGAAAGCTGGTCCTAAACCAAAATGGTGTCCAGTCAGACCTAAAGTACAGTCGCCATGGTAATCATCTTGTTAAAAAAAAATTCCTGCACGGATGGTTCTAAAATACTTTGGACCATATGAAATTTGTCCTACATAAAATAACGCCAGAGGGACTGTCGTGTATTTAGACTAGTCATCCTAAACAGAAGAGGCAGGTCCTGACTGCGTAATGAGGTACAACAATTAGTGTAACGTCCCATATGAAGGTCATTTGCATCTTGTAGGGAGTTATCGTTTTGACTGAAAGTTGCATTAAAGAAAGTATTTTGTTACATTACTAAATCCGCTATTTCTTCAAAATTTGGCTCAGTCAGGTTCATCAGCACTATAGTGATTTCCCCAATTTTTTAAAATCTCATAAAAAACTGTTTCGCCTAAATGGATATCAACACCTACGTTAAAAAAATTAAACAAAAATCACTTCTTTCTTGCAATATACAATATTAAAATTATGTTGATCTAAACTCCAGATGTCCTGCGATGATTACCAACTAGGAAATCTTTCAATGGTCATTTCTCCTAAACAGATGGACTTGTCAATGTAGGCTTTAAAAAAAAATCCCCAACATTTTATATCAGTATATAGCCGATTATTTGACGTCCAATATGGCACCATAATGACAGGCTTGGAAATATTTCAAATCACAACACCACTTGCAGGAATGGTGGCATAGACATGAAATTTCTCGCTAAAATTTGAATTCCTTATAAATGAAAACGATCTAGGTCCAAAGATCAGCATATCAGCAGTTTTATATTTATAGACTCACTATACTGTACCCTGATATATATATATATATATATATATATATATATATATATATATATATATATATATATATATATATATATATATATACACCTTTAATAATGCCACTTAAACTTTTAAGTTATTAGTAATGGGAGTTACCATAGCCTGTTTAGTGTCAGTTGAAATAAACGTTAGGCCACCATTTTGAAATGGCAGATATAGCGTCTAAAGAGAATTAAAATTTGACCCGATACAGACCCGCTTGTACTTAGATATTTCGTCTTGTATGGCGTCAAACGTGAAATGTAATGTTAATCTCTGATTGTAATATATATATATATATATATATATATATATATATATATATATATATATATATATATATATATATATATATATATATATATATATTAAATATCTAATCTGTTATATAATATTAAGTATATTAATATATAATATAATAATATATATTAATATATAAATATACAATATACTTATATATATATATATATATATATATATATATATATATATATATATATATATATATATATATAATTTTATTTATTTAGTATAAACAAAATTATTTTTTTAACAAAAGGAGCCTTACTCTCCAAAGACTTACCAAAAGAGCATTACCGTCCAAAGACTTACCAAAAGAACATTACCGTCCAAAGGTTTATGAACTGAATATGACCGTCCAAAGACTTATAAACCAGGACATTACTGAAC